TGCCAATTTGTAAAGGTTAACGAAAATAGTATTGAGATAAAGGGTTCGAAGTACAAGGTAAGTGAAATTGAAAGTCAGGAACCTATTGGAATGGAAGGAGGCAAGGGATTTTTGCTCGAAGGCGGTCTCTATAAAAAAGAAATTAGAGTGGAAGGAATTAAGGTGTCACTGACAGGTTCATATGAAACTCTTAACAGCATAAAAAAAGATGATTCTTTATTGGTGCTTGACAAAGAGAGGTGGGAAAGCGAAAGCCCATTTGCCATCTTGGCATCGGGACAAGAAGGTGCTTATCAGCGAAAAGGTTTAGTAGGATTTTCAGGAAAAGCAGAAGTAGAAAAACTAGAAAGCATAAAAGGAACAAAGAAAGAAAATTTGATTATTGAACAACGGCAGGAATTGCAAAATAAGATAGAAATTCCTCCCAAAGGAAATATTAATTAAAAAGTTAGAGAAGTAGTTTCCCTTAATACAAGTTTAAACCTTATCAAAAATAGTAATAATAAATCATATGAAAAGTCTCAAAGCAAATAAAAATCAATCATCTATAAACAAAATCCACAACCTCGACTGCTTAGAACTATTCAAGCAAATGAAAAATAACAACATCTTAGTAGACACCTTAATCACCGATCCCCCTTACAGCCTTGACTTAGTCAATAAGAAAAACTTTGCCCCCTCAGTCTCTGCTAAATGAAATGATAATTTTGATCAACTAATTTGAATTAGAGAATCAGCCCCCTTAGTCAAAAACGGGGGCAGTGTAATCATCTTTAATCACTGAAAAAATCTCAGTGCCATTAGTCAAGTATTAGAAGAAAATGATTTTGTAATAAAAGAGTTAATCAGATGAGTAAAACCTAACCCCTTAATAAAAAACATTACGGAAGAATACACCACCGACTACGAACTTGCGATTTGAGCCGTTAAAGGAGAGAAATGAACTTTCAATTTTGAACAACAATTAATTAACAATTTAAAAAATAAAAAGAATCCTTGCTTAATTCCTGAATATGTTGGCGGAGTAGTATTTGGCGAAGAAAGAATCCATCCCACTCAAAAAAATATCCAAGTAATGAAAGACATTATTGCTGTGCATACTAATCCCGGTGATTTAGTCCTGGACCCTTTTATGGGTTCGGGAACTACTGCGGCAGCTTGTAAAGAATTAGGTCGTAATTTTATTGGTTCGGAACTGGATAAAGAATATTTTCAAAAAGCCTCCGCGAGGTTAGAAAAGTTGAATGTATCGAAATCTGAACTGGAATTAGGTAAGGATGATTTGCCAGTTTTAATCGCCGAGGCTGAGGCACATATTAGCAAGTTAGAACAAGAAATAATT